AGAACATAATTAATACTTTATAAAACCCCATCAATGATTCATGATTTTACCTAAATATGCATGAAGCTATGTAAATTTGTTCTTGTACAATGTTAAACTTCTCCACCTAAGATTCTTAGAAAGGTGAAGTGAAGATCATTTTTCTTAACTGTAATGCAGATTATTGCATTGAGAATTGATCTTAAATTTTTGACAATGGTTCCATTTGATTCGTCGAAGAAATTGTCATGTGATGGTGATTTGGTCGTTCCAAAGTGCTCAGTACCAAGGGTGGATTTGTGTACTTGTTGGTCCCAACTGTTGAGCAATGGACTCTGGTTCTTAGACACAGAACCCAAATTTTATATATTGCCAATATTAGTTTTGTTGTCATGTACTTGGAGATGGTTTTGGGTTGCCTGTGGATCCTTGACTACCTCGCTTCCTCGAGCTATTGCACGCAATGGACATGTTCACACGTTTGATTTTCACGAACAAGGGGCCGCCTCGGCTAGCTAAGAATTTTCAATCCAGACTAACGCTTATAAGTAAAATAATTTAATGCAATATAGGATACAATTGGATTTTCTGCAGATTGAGAAAGAGCTGAATATGTTTATTTTACTATGGTTGTCTTTCACGTATATGAATTTCGAGAAGGGAACTTGCGGAGCTCGCAGGGTAACGTTGGCGGTTCCACGTCTCTTAGGAGCTGCAAGAAGGGACTATTCTCCACAAATGGGCTAGGAAATGTTGTCACTTTTTCGAGCATTTATCAACTTATAGGGTATTGTATTCCTAAAATGAAGTTATATTCTATGTTTAGTTAATATAATTGAAACATAATCACAGAGTGATATATAGAAGAAAATCAAGTTGCCTTGGATCTATTTAATATTTTGATTAGTGTTTGTAACTTTTTTTTAATATTTGTCACTTTTTTGAATTTCTGGCACTTAGTTGGATCGCTTCCATATTTAATGCAACATAAACAAAGATAATTTAATATTTTTGAAGAGCGTATTTATATTAGTTCATTTGAATTTCATTTAACCGAATTTTATATAATGGGATAAAATTTTTCTTGTCCAAAAATTTTATTAATAAAAGTCAAGTTACATGGTTTGTAACATTTTCATTAAAAAGTAACATTTTATTATGCCATTTTTTTAGTTAAAATCACACAATCATTTTCTAACATAACAATATATCTTTGGCTAAGCTTTCAATTTGCTTATAAGAATTTCTTTTAGAAGTTAATTTATTTTGTATTGCACGTCATTTTTTAATTAAAAAGTCTCACATGACTTTACACTGCATTTTTTTACTTTCAAAACACTTTTCGTATGATTTTTCAAAATGTTCTTGATCTTAGGGATATTTTTGTAAGTTGCACCCCCCCCCACAAAAAAAAACCTCCTAAACAACAGAGGTGACCCTAAGGATGCACAAATTGAGCGACCGCACAGGGCACCAATTTTTTTTTTTTTTTATTTGTGTATATATATGTATAATTATATATTTAAAATATTTATTAATTTTAAAATTTAAAATTTTAATTATTATGTTAAGTTAAAAGTCACAATGTTTATGAAAAATGAGTTAAACGATAGACAAATGATGATTTTTATTTAACATTGTTGTATTTTTTATTCCTGATTACATATTATACGAAGACATTTTATTAAAGGAATGAAAATGATTCAGATGGTCTAGACTCTTTCACATATAATTTTAGTGTGTTGTGCTTAACTATTTTCATTTATAGATTTTTTTCTTTATTAATTGCATGCAGTTGATTTGGTATGATATGCAATTGTATAATATACTAAAGTTAAAAATAATGTAATTTGCTAGTTATAATTTTTTAAAATGGTATCATACTTTAAATAATGTCAAAAAAAAAAAGGAAAAGAGAAAAAAATATAATTCGTAAGAGAAACATTTTGATGAAAATGCCACCGTATTTGACACACAATCACTTGAAATTTTTTTCATAACCAATTATTTATTTTATATAGTAGATCAATCAATTAGATCACTTGATGAATGTTTGATCAATTCAATTCACATGAAAAAATTCGGATTTCTATTTTTTTTGACAAGTTAAATGTATTGGATAATGCTGATTCGAAAGCATGTTGTGATCATTTTGACATTATTCGAAGACATATAAATTTTTGCAATCTTGATGGCAAATATTTGCTTCAAAAGTTGAGAATTTTGCAAAATATTTTACCAAAAGAAACAAAGACATCTTTTGATATATTGACTTGTTTGAAAATATTTGATCTCTTTTCGAATACATTTATTCTTTATAGAGTATTATTGACAATTAATGTTATTGTTGCATCTGTCAGAAGAAATTTTTTAAAATTGAAATTATTAAAATATTATTTACAATCAACCATATTATAAGAACGATTGAATGACCTAACTTTGATATCTATTGAACAAAATTTGCTAGAAATGAAGGTTTAATTAGTTAGTTTGCTTCTAGAAATGCGAGAAGAAATATTTTTACATGATTTGTTGTTTTTCAAAGTTTACACGTTGTATTTGACGTTTCTGATTTCAAGGTTTTCTTATAGGGTAATTAGTATAAATGGGTCTCAACGTTTACACTCTTTGCTAAAATGGTCCCTATCATTTTAAAATTGGCATTTGTACCCTTATTTCAAACGTTTCTTGCGGAATTGGTCCTTCCATCCATAAACAGTTAAACATCAGTTAGAACCTTTTGGTAATTTGCAGAAATTGTCCATATGGAATATAATTTAATATAAT